CTCACTGCCCCTTATCGGTAATGAACGTAGTCACCAATCAGAGCGGGAATTCCCATTGAGTCTTAGTCTTGGAAGGGGGTTTGCTCTGAGGGGACCCGACCACGTGCCTTGATGTCTCCTGGGCAAGCAACTTGCTTCTTCTTATAGCAATAGTCAGTCTGCCTATATTGTTTTGTATTTTTCCTATAGGTCTTTCTTTCAAGAAGTATCTTCTGTTCTTCTAGCCGTTCCAGGCTGGTCTGCTTGTCCTTTCAAGTGGAAATTTCCCACTTCTGAAGATTCTGGATATGGTTCAGGCTTCTAGCTATAGTCTTATGTAATGCAGAGGCTCCGCAGGAAGCCTCCTTCACTGGGCATGTTGTAGCCTCATTTTAGGTATTCCAATCAGTTATAGGCAGAAGACGGACTTAGAAGCTTTCTATGGTAATATTTCTGGCTATTCCTTTCTCTCCCTCTCCATTGTCTATTTTATACTATGATGCAAGGAAAACTAAGATTCAAAAGACAGCCAAGCATCTTAACATTATTTCTTCCCTTTTCCCCATTCCAACCATGTCTCAACCTCATCAGTGTTTCTCTGTGTTTTTTTCTAACCTATCAGTTGGAATATTTCAATCCCTAGTACTGTTAGAAAACATGGAAGTTTCTAACAGTACTAGGGATTGAAATAATCCAACTGATAGGTTAGAAAAAAAAAACACAAAGAAACTGAACTATACCCAGTAGTCTATCATTCTTATCATCTGAGCCATATGCCTAATCATTTCACAGGGCCATAAACTTCTCATTTAGAAACACTGAATTACATCATATGAATTCAACTATGAACTCATAGGGTAGCAGGGAGGAAGGGGTGGAGACGAGAGAGGAAAAGAATGTAAATAGCCACAGCAACTTTGCCTAATGTTCGACTCCGTGGCTAAACACTCTGGAATACATGTGAGATAGGAAGCATGAATCCACTGGTCTCAGATCCTGCAGACCTGCATAAGGTCAGAGACACAAAACCACATATACTACTTCACAGGTGATTTCGGAGATTTGAGGGGATTCCTTGCCTATTTGTATCTTACATGCTGGCTTTAGGGTTTACCTCTGCAGAGAATGTGTCAGGTACAACTCCACAGCATTTGAACTTTCATACTAATTAAGTCAATAAGTGACTGGACATAGGTACATGATATCTCAAAAAGAAGGCAAGTCTCTTCTGAAAAACAAACATAGTATGAGGCAATGCACTATACCTAAGAGCGGACGACCCTTCCTGGCAGGTATTTTCACTAAGTGGTCAGAGTTAATATCATGGGCTAGTCTTCCTATCCCTTCTCTGACCCAAACTATAATCAGCTGTACCTGGTCTCCAGGCTGGCAGCCTCTTGAAGCATCTCCTCTGTGAGTATATCTGTGTTATAAAACTCTCTGAGGGCTTGCAGCAGCTCTTCCTTTCGATGTGTAGGCAGGCTCTCTGCATTGAGCAGGGCTCTGGCCCCAGAGCGCACCTGGCGGCGCTCAGGATCCTCCAGCAGGTGCAAGCCCTCCTCAGAGCCAATGGGGGCCCGGAACTCCTTGGCCAGCTGTTGCTTCAAATGATTGTCATAGTAGTTGGAGACGGCATGGCAGGAGGTGCAGAGCAGCAGCACATCGTGGGAGTTGTGATCCTTCATTTCAATGGGAAAGTGCTTCCGGTATTCATGTGGGATCACGTTCTTTCTGGAACAAGACCATCCCAAAGGTGGTGGTGCTTATTAACAGTAAGGTATAGGACAGAAAACACAAAGCAGAGCAAGGAGGTGGGATCTTGGAGTTCTAATCTAGGCCTAAAGATGATGGAAAAGCCTTGGGTACCACAACCTAACAGAGACTACCCAAAGGCAATACTATCTATTCCACTCTCAGCCCACCTGTGCTTTACATGTTTCTCTCCTGGAAAAAAAAGTGCAGATCACCTGCTGTCAGGCTTCAAATGGGAGAGCAGGAGTGGTCAACAACCTCTGAGAAGTTGGCTGTGCTCCCAGAAATAAAAGTATCAGAGCAATGAGAAGATATTCTAATGGCCTTTGACATCTAGAAAATAACCCTCTCAAAGCTTGTAGTGGGTAAACGTCAATCCTGAAAATTTGAACCTTCATCTGAGGAGTACCCTACTCTGAGACCATTTCTCTGATTTACCAAGGTCCATCATTAATTCTAAGGAGAACCAAGCTCTCAGAAAAAAACTTTTGTAGCTATAATTGTTTGTCTCATTTTGCAGGGAAAGGAGGAAAGTGAATTACTCCATAGATGCTAAGGAGAAAGTACAAGTACCCAGGCCTAGTGGGTATCCACACTTTCCAGGTTAGGATCCCTGGAATTAAAGTATTCCTCCCCAGAGTATGCCTTCAGGTTATCTATATATTCTATGGATGGTACTAAGGCTCAGAAAAAGTGCTGAATCACTTGAGAGAAGATTTATAAGGACTAGAGAGGTCAGAGCCTCTGAAGAAATTGCTCTCTGGCTCTTCATGAGCAAAAGGAGACCAGTCTCTCCATAGCAGACTGCTACCAAGAATAGTATTGCATTCCAGGCCTTAAGAACTGGGCTTAGCAGGAGCCGGGGCTTTTTTGCCAGGTCAGGCAGACTGCCTAGGCAATCAGGAAAACCGAGATGCCATCTAGGGACAAGCCTCTCAGTCAACATAAGCACATTCAGCCAAGGCTTCTGAGGGCCCAGCTTGTGGCTATAAAAGCCCTTTCCATCTGAGGCAGACGACGGGGCAGCCAAACACTACACTCACCGAATGTAGGAGTCTCTCTTGCCACACACCACACACAAGTTCTCTTTAACCATCAAGTAATAATCTCCTGGGGATTCAGGTCTTCCTGCAGGTTCAAACTGTAGCTTGACCACAAAAGGCTCTTCACTCACCAGCTCTTAGAGAAAAGAAGCAGCTTTAGTGTTTCATTGTGCACCTCTTCACAAACTTAATTGTACTCGGCTCTAACTGTGTCTTTGCAGACATCATTATTTCTGAGTTTGGAAAAATCCAGCTCATGTGCCTCAAGGTCTCTCTGCCTTCTTGTATCGACTCTCTCTATTACCTCACATTCCACTCCTGCCAGCACCCGCATGCACTTAATTATAGATGAAATGTGACAGCTGAATCTCAAACCTCCAATGCCTTTGTCCAAGTACCACTGAGCTTTTCTGCGATCACAAGTACAGAGGGGCTGTCCGTCAGGAGCGTGGAGAAAGCAGTTATCATAGAGGGGTGATTTTCTGTAGGAAACGGAGAGACAAATCTCAAACGGAAAACCATCAGTTAAGGTATCAATTATTCTTTTGAGTAACCCAAGCTATTCTTTATACTAAGGCCAAACAGACCAATTATGGGGTGGGGATGATGGGTAAGAAACCACATCTAGTCCTCCATCTTACACTGAGCTAGGAAGTAGAACTAAATCAATCAGATAGTTTATGTCTCTAGCTTTTTATATTTATGATTAGGATATTAGGAATGAGATGAACAGTGTTTACACAGTTCTGCTGAGAAAGTAAACAGGAGGACAGCAACAAGAAAACTGTCCTATAGAGTAATTATAGAATTAAACAAAGCAAATTAAAAGGGAATGTTTAAACTAAAGTAATGAGGGCCATGTGGGTTTATTTCTGGCTCATATATCAATACTTGTTTTGATTTAATCATCCTATTCCTAAGGCACTTTGCTACAGGGACCAAATTTCTACTTCAAAGTATTGAATAGTCATCTTTCTGCAATACAGGTGTAAGTCGTGCAGGAAAATTTTCATTGGCTAGGGAATAAGCAGTGGCTTAGTGCTGGGTATCACTCTAAATAATCAAATATAAAATAGACAAGGAATCAGATAATGCATTTCTCATGAAAAGAATGGGGCCCTCATGTTATTTCTTTTCACAGCTCTCCTTGAACAAGCAAGGAATAATTACTATTCCCTCATTTATAGTTGGAGAAGTTTCAGATCTGAGATCACGTCAGGTCAGCGACAAAGCTAGGATAAGAGTCTCATTTCTATTTCCAACTGTCTAAAAAATGGAAAACTAAAAAGGAAAAGAGAAATATATAAAGATAAAAATTTTAAATTGCTACAAATGTCATTGAAGGACAGGAAAATTGCAACAAAACCCTGGGGACCTAAGATGGGGCATCATACCTCTCACTGCTCCAAGTCTTCACTAGACAGGGAACAACCTAGTTACCTGGCAGAGTAGCCCACTCCCAGAGGTTTTCGTTTATGTTTTCTGGGGTCTCTTCCTTGGTGGTTGCCTGGCCCCATTCCATCGACCTTAGACTTCTTATTTCTTGACTTCTGTTGAGTTTCTGTTGCTTCCCCATTAACCTCTTCTCCCAATCTGATTATTCCTTTGCTTCTGAATGGGATGTCTACTACATCCTGACATTTCTCCAAGACTTTTCTCCAGCCAATGTGGCCACTGTTTTCTTCGAGAGTTGAATTCCTAGAGAAAGGGTATCCAAGAAGATGGAGAAAGACAGCCACTGAAATCTGGGCATCCCTGGCGGCATAAATTACCTACAGAGAAAAGTCAGAGATCAGGGAAATACGGGAAGTACTCCAGAGAGAACAGCAGCAAAGTCAATCACAAAAGCATAGAGGACTTTTAAGATCCTAATTCAAAATGCACGGTAACCTAGGCTTTTAGATGCTTTAAAAATGTTTTTATTATGAAGAATTTCAAACTTTATAAAAGTAAATATTTAATACACTCTAGAATAGTAAAAATGAACTCTCATGATCCCTATGCATGTTTTTAACGTAAATAGCTATAATGATGTCTTAATCTAAAGACACAAAAATGTTAATGTATAAAAATCAGTGAAGTTTCTTTCTATTCGTTACCAATCCAGCAGAACAGATTTTTCTTAAGGGGGAAGCTGGCTAAGAGAGCTCTGACAATGAGTATATTACATTCACTTTGGAGTAGAGCTGAAACCATGATTAACAGGCCTATCAAGCAGAATGGCTTTCCATACATATTGAAAACAAGGTTTCAAACATGGGCCTCCAGTTGACAGTCACATAGGCCCATTCTTGAATTTCATTTATTAATGATAAGCCATTCTCCCAAGCAACTGGGAATGGGCAGCTGGTAATAAATACAAGTAGTCAAAACTAAAAAAATCAAAGAATGCCTTTAGTTTACCTTTATTAACCAAGTCTGATAAATACTTCTATTAGTAAAGATTTTTTATGGTTTTATTGTTTTTAATACTATGGCATCATCATTATTTATTATATGAATATAGTGAGGAGTTAGGGTTTGGTTTTGTTTTCCTTTTTAAACTCTAAGTGATAAAATAAAACAAGTTTGAATAACATTTCTACCTAGACTCAGCATTCCACATAACTATTAGCAAACTGTCCCCCCACAGGAAAAGAGTGGGCTGGAATGTGAAGAGTTCAATGTGCTTTTTTAATACATTGTTCTCCAATGATAAAGAAACCAAAGCACCTTCAAATAAGCCCATGTCATGGATGCACTGGAGCAATACTTTCTTAGTAGCAATACTTTTTTACTTATCCTCGTATTTGAAATATCTAGAATGCACAGAGTCAGAGGTGGTTACCAGAACCGAGGGTGGAGGGGAGTGGGGCTGGGCTGGTAGATTAGATACATGGCATTATAGTTGTATAGGTACAGAGTTTCTGTTTGGGGTGATGACAAGGTTTGTGAAACGAATAGTGGAGTAGAATTGTGAGTGGAATTAATGCCACTGAAATGTTCATTTGAAAATGGTTAAAATGGCGATTTTTATGTTGTGTACATTTTACCAAAAAAAAAAAAAAAAAAGAGAGAGAGAGAGAGACGATGAAGGCCTGACAACAAAACCAGAAGAGTCCTTTATTGTTGTCTAATAGAATGTACTGAATAAATATAATTGATTCAACTCTGCGTCCAAAGCTTAAAGAAAAAAGCATGTCCCTAGTAAATGAGGGTGTGTTCATACCTGGTTGAGACAAACACACTCCCTGAGCACCCCTAAAACCAGTAAGCAGAAAGAAAAGTCTGCTGGCTAGAATTGCAGTCTTACTCAATGTGGCATGTGTGCTCAGTGAGAGGGAACTGTAAGCACCTACCCTGTGTGCTGAACCCTGCAACTGTGAGAGCATAAACACCTCCCTTTGACAGTGTAAAAACCAAGTCACTTGGCCAAAGATACAAAGGCAGCTCAATAGGTTTGAACTTCATGCTTAGCTTATTTCCAATGTACCATTGCTTTCCCCAAGCCAACTAAACTATTAATTTCTTCAGAGATTTAACCCTGAGGTAATCTTTCTTTCTAAAATAAGATCTAAACATTTCACATTTATTTTCTTCTTAAACTACGCTAGTGAAGACAATACTAGAAATTGAGGCCATCATGCACAGTATTGCCATTCTCTGTGCATTGACATTTAGAAAAGACACTTTATAAAAAACAAAACCCATATGTTCTGAAATGCCTGTCATCTAAGTGTTCAAATTCACATGTAAATAAGGATTCTGACTTTTATTTCTGTGGCATCTACATTCTTATTAACTACTCATCCTGAGTAGTACCAGACAAAGAGTATAGTTTAAAGCATCTCAGTCTAATACTTAGATCATATTGAGAGGTTGGAATCCATTCTTCAGCTACTCTGATTAAGAAATACCTGGTCTTCAGTAAGATTCTCAGCATCCCAGTTGCTGCAACGGATTCGAAGGGACTTGTCAAGGGGAAAGTTCAAAACAGTCTCAGCAAGAGATTTCAGGCTAAGCCCATTACAGAGCAAACTGTTTCTATAAGAAATGAATAAAACTGTGTGTCAAAAATGGGGAGAGGGCATAAACAACAGGTAATTTAGAAATAGACAAAACCATGCAATAAGCAGATGGAAAGCTATTCAATCACAATAGAAATCAAAGAACATAAAATTAAGATGGTATACAATTTTTCATCTATCAGACTGCAAAGATTACTTAAAGTAACTATATTAGAGGAGCATTAAGAATCAAGTACTCTCATCTAAAATTCATGGAGTGCAAAATGTTAACATCCTTTATAGAAAACACTTAACAATGAACAGTTATCAAAATTCTAAACATGAAAATTCTCTGATTGAGCAATTCTACTTCTGGAAAATGATCCTAAGGACAAATGTAAATAAAACGATTTTCATTGTAACACCTAAATGCCCATCAACAAAATACTGACTAAATTCCATACAGCTATTTTAGATAGCAAGGTTGGCAGATCAAACCTACCAGCTGCTCCTCGGAAACCCCATACATGGTCACTGAGTCAGAGTCACTTGACAGCATTTAACAACATCATTTCAGATTGAGATATGAATCGATATCGATTGATGTAAAAAGATGTCCAAAGTATATCAAGCTGAAAAATGTTGTGAAAGGAAATGTATACTATGGTACCATCTGGACTCCTGGTGTGACTCTGTAGGATAAGTACAGGACTGTGAACCACAAGGTGAACAGTTGAAACCCACCAGCTGCTCCTTGTAAACTCTATACAAGGTCGCTATGAATCAAAACCCACTCGATGACACTTAACAACAACAACATTTACATATACCACATATTGTTGTTGTTAGGAGCTGTTGAGTTGGTTCTGACTAATAGAGATGCTATGCATAGCAGAACAAAGCACTGCGTTACTGAAGGCTGTGGTCTTTGACATTCATCAGTAAGTATATTAAGTCCTTTTCATTTTCAGCAAACAAGGTTTTATCATCTGCATATTGTGGGTTGTTAATGAAATCCTGATGCTGTGATGTTCTTTGTATAATCTAGCTTCCTGGATTATTTGCTCAGCATACAGATAGAGTAAGCATGGTGAAAGAATACAACCCTGGCACAAACTATGCCTTTTTAAAACAATTCATTGTCCCCTTGTTCTATTTGAATGACTGCCTCTTGGTCTATGTATAAGTTCATTATGAGCACAATGAAGTGTTCTGGGATACTCGTGTTCCGCAATGTGGTCTATAGCTTGTCATGACCCATACATTCAAAAGCCTTTACATAGTCAATAAAGCACAGGTAAACATCTTTCTGGTATTCCCTGTTTCCAGCCAAGATCCATCTGGTGTCAGCAATGATATCCCTTAGTCCATGTCATCATCTGAATCTGGCTTGAAACTCTGCAAGTTCCTACAAATGTAATGTTGCAGCCATTTCTAATTACCTTTAGCAGTATTTTATCTGCATGTGATATTAATGATACTGTCCAATGATTTCTGCATTCCATTGGGTCACATCTCTTTGGAATGGGCACAAAGATGATCTCTTCCAATCAGTTGGCCAGTTATCTGTTTTCCGTATTTCCTGGCAATAGTTGAATGAGTCCAGTGCTGCATCAGTTTATTGAAAGATTTCAGTTTGTATCCCATCAGTTCACGGAGTCTTGTTCTTTGACAATGCCTTCAGTGCACCTTGGATTTCTTCCTTCAAGATTATTGGTTCTTGATCATATGCTTTCTCTTGAAACGGTTGAACATAGACCATTTCTTTTTGGTATAATGACTCTGTGTATTCCTTCCATCTTCTTTGGATGCTTTTTGCATCGTTCAATATTTGCCCAAAGAATCCTTCAATATTGCAAGTCAAGGCTTAAATTTTTTTCTTTAATTTTTTCATCTTGAGAAATGCTGATCATGTTCTTCCATTTTGACTTTCTAACACCAGGTCTTTGCACATTTAGTTATAATATTTGACTTTGTCTTCTTGAGCTGACCTTCAAAATTTCTATTGAGTTCTTTTACCTCCTCATTGCTTTTATTTGCTTTAGCATCTCTATGCTGAAAAACAAGTTTCAGAGTCTCTTCTGACATCCATTTTGGTCTTTTCCTTCTTCCTTGCCTTCTTAATTACCTTTTGCTTTCTTCCTGTATGATGTTTTTGATATCATCCCACAACTCTTCTGGTCTTCAGTCTTTAGTTCCTAATATATCAAATTTGTTCTTCAGATAATCTCTAAATTCAGGCGGGATATAGTCAAGGTCTTATTTTGGCTCTTGTGGATTTGTTTTCATTTTCTTCAGCTTCAGCCTGAACTTGCATATGTGCAATTGATGGTCTGTTCCACAGTCTGTCCTGGTCTTGTTTTGGCTGATGATACGGAACTTTTCCACTGTCTCTTTCTACAGATGTAGTCAATTTGATTTCTCTGTATTCCACCCGGTGAGGTCCATGTTTACAGTCACTTTTTATGTTGTTTTAAAAAGGTATTTGCAGTAAAGTTATTGGTCTTACAAAATTCTATCATGCTATCTCCAGCATCATTTCTATCACCAAGGCCATATTTTCCAACTACTGATCCTTCCTCTTTGTCTCCAACCTTTGCATCTCAATCATCAGTAATTAACAATGCATATTAATGGCATATTTGATCAATTTCAGACTGAACAAATTGGTAGAACTCTTCAATTTCATCATCTCTGGCTTTAGTGGTTGGTGCATACATTTGAATAATAGTGGTATTAATTGGTCTTTGTGGACAGAATTATATTATCCTATCACAGATAGCATTATACTTTAGGACTGATCTTTGTGACGATGAATAAGAAGCCAATGTTCTTCAATTTGTCATTCTGTGTGATTATCATATTCAAAATGGCCAATACCACTCCATTTCAGCTCATTAATGCCTAGGATATTGATGTTTATACACTCTATCATTTTTTCCCCTTTCATTTTCTTTTCTTTCCTTCTTTT